AGCTCCTGGTCTGAGTCTGACCTCTGACCGTGACAACTTGCTAATACTGTTAAATAAGCGGTAGACTGCTTTGCAACAGATGTATGTCTAATTGTGCTTCTAATTTGCTTTAATCTCTATCCCTGTGTTGTGTGCTCTGTAAAGAGATCTGAAAGTTGATGTTGTAACATGAATTAATGGAAGTAAATTATTTTCTGCTTGTGTATGCTGATAGGCTGAAAAAAAGTTAATTGTTTTCTTCTGTTTTAGCATTTCCCTTTTTCAAATGATTCTGAGAAGTTGTGATATTGTAACAGTGAAGCACATAGCATAATTTATTGGTTGCTAGGCGGCCTAATCTGACACACATTATGTTCTCTACCATGTGACGGCACATGATTCCATGTGATTGAAGGATTTTTTTAAATGAGTTATTTTACATTTATTTTCAAGTCATATTGCTTCTTGGGTAATTGTGTTTTACGCTTGGTTTTTATTCACTGGAAAACAAGTTTTTAAATGATCGCTGAATATGTTTTATAATGAAGTTTTAATTTACATAAATTGTGACATTTTAATGTTTATAGGTGGTGTGCTGAACTGAGTTTCACATTCATTTCTTAGGTGAGCTCTGGTTTGCGTCTGTTATGATTGTCTGGCCAAATTTTTAGTATTCTCATTTCTCCTGTTGTGTGCTCCAGAAAAAAATAATATATTAGGGATCCAAGAGAGAGATTGTGATTTCTCGTAATGGCTGCTGCCAGTTTGCTGGCATTGGACAAGCACAGAGATCTTGTCTGAGCGATTAAACCTTAATTACTGCTTGAATTGATCCTTAAATTGGAACTGATTTACTTCTTAGCCATTAGAACTAGAGTTGTGAATGCCTGGTTAAAATAATTAGGAAAACATTTTTTTTTTTACAAATGTTTTTTTTTTTTTTTGGGGGGAAAATGTTTTTACAATGATAAATGTCTATGACGTGGTATTCAAACAATGTAACATGAAGACCTTTAATGAAAGATTTTTGAGACTTTTTCTAAAGGGCAAGTTCTTTCAGCTGACCGCTTCAAACAGGCGAATCCTGGATTTACAATTCAAGTAACACTGTACTTCTCAAACGAGAAATATACATTTCCGCCACTACTGGGCACTACAGGGAAAGGCTCCAGTTTGGTTTGCTTGTGGGCTCCATCGTGTTCCTCCTACAGTTAGATGATTATGGGATACAGTAGATGATAATTTCTTTTCTCTCAGGCCTTAATTGACAGGGTAAATATGTCTGACAAAGTAGTTTTATCTTTATAACCTTTAAAGCATTCTTATTAATGTTCTCCACCATCGCAGTATAAATGTTTACCTATAGTCTTCTCAGTAAATTGTGTTTTTTCTTTTCCTGTCAGTAAAATGGTGAGCCCAACATTTTAGAGTTTGCAAACATTTCCACAGTAAAATTTTCTGCTGAGGTCAAAACTGCAATTTTCAAATTTTGTGAGAAGAAATATGCTTTTCCAAATGCTATAAGGATGATAAAACACATCCTGGCATACCAGAGATGTCCTAATGACATGGAAAAATACTTTATGAAATTAATTGAGGACCATAATGAAATTGTAAAGTATTCTTATTCCAGAAAGCTTGTTGTTTCTGGATCCCAATAATGGTTTCTTCACCAGCAGCATTTTCAAGATGCCGTTCATTTTGTCAAACTATTCCACACTGAATTTGTTTTTTTTTTTTTTAATTTTCCGAAAATTTCTATTTTTTTAGAAAGCGATTTAGTGTCCAGGCAGCTGTTCGTTTGAGCTGCAATGAGCCAGTGGTAGGGAGAAGTGTGTTGCACATTCAAGCGCATCAAACAGTTCCCTTATTTTTTGTGTCACTGCATGTCACCACACAGCAGTACAGTGCATTGAGTTTGCTGCTGTGTGGTGACATGCAGGAACATCCAGTGAGATGCAGGTAATTTCACTTAGTGTCTAAAAAGAAAAAAAAAAGGTGCCAAATCCCGGTGATCTCTTCCATGCTCTTCAGGTAGATCTGTACCTCTCAAAAGTTGCCTGCCCCTGCACTACATGATTTGCTGGTGTGAAAGTGATGACAAGATTCACATTTGAAGCAGAAGTGAGGTAACACTCTTTTGCTTCCACTGTGTGATGAGACACCTAGCTAACAGGTGGGAAGCCTCACTTTCGTCATTCACTGTGGGTGCTGCTAGTAATACAGAGTCATTTCAAAGCTTACTGCACATCAAAGAGAGAATTGTTGGTGCCGCTTAGCTGGTGCCTCTGTGACTGAAGTTGCCAATTTATTTGCCATGTCGCGAGGTACAGTATCAAAACTTCGTCTGATAAGCAGAACTACAGTTGACATGGTCAACTGACCAAAAGAGACAAAAGGACATTGCACTGAACTGTGACCCAGAAAAAGAAAAACAACTGCTGCAAAGGTGACTGCAGAGCTCAATCTCAGTCCTGTGAAGACTCGGCCATAACCTTTGATAGTGTACCTCGCAACTGTAACCATATAGCTGGTTATTTATATTTACCACTGCATATACAGTTAGGTCCATTTATATTTGGACACAGGCACAATTTTTTAGTTTTTTTTTTCAGGTATTTACCAAAACATATTCAAGCTATAGTTATATAATGGATATGGGCTGAAAGTGCACACTCTAAGGTTTAATTTAAGTGTATGTACATCCAAACTGGAGGAAGGGTTTAGGAATTACAGCTGTTAAGAGTAGCCATCACCCCTTTTTCAAGGGAGCCAAAGTAATTGGACAAATTAATATAATCATAAATAAAATGTTCATTTTTAATATCTTGTTGAGAATCCTTTACTGGCAATGACTGCATGAAGTCTGGAACTCATGGACATTACCAAAGACTGGGTTTCCTCCTTTCTGATTCTTTTCCAGGCTCTAACTGCAGCTGTCTTCAGTTGTTCTTTGTTTGTGGCTCTTTCTGCCTTTTAGTTTTGCCTTCAGCAAGTAAAATGTGTGCTCTTGGGTTGAGATCAGGTGATTGACTCGGCCATTGCAGAATATTCCACTTCTTTTCCTTCAAAAGCTCCTGGGCTGCTTTTGCAGTGTGTTTTGGATCATTGTCCATCTGTACTGTGAAGCGCTGTCCAATAAACTTTGTTGCATTTGGCTGCATCTGGGCTGACAGTATATCTCTAAACACTGCAGAATTCATCCGGCTGCTTCTCTTACATCATCAGTAAACACCAATGACCCAGTGCCACTGGAAACCATGCTTGCCCATGTCATCACACTGCCTTCTTAATTTTTTACAAATTACGTTGTGTGCTTTGGATCATGAGCTGTTCTAAACCTTCTCCACACTTTTTTTTTTTTCCTTCCCGTCATTCTGGTACAGATTAATCTTAGTTTCATCTGTCCAAAAAATGCTTTTCCAGAACTGTTCTGGCTTTTTAAATGTTTTATGGCAAAGTCTAATCTGTCTTTTCTATTCTTCAGGCTTATGAATGGTTTGTACCTTGTAGTGAAGTCTTCCCTTGAATGTAGACTTTGACAATGATACGCCCACCTTCTGGAGAGTGTCCTTCACTTGTCTGGATGTTGTGAATGGGTTTTTCTTTATCATAGAGAGGATCCTATGATCAGCCACCACTGTTGTCTTCCATGGACGTCCGTGCTGTTTTATGCTGCTGAGCTCACCAGTGTGCTCTTCTTTCCTCAGAATGTACCAAACTGTTGATTTGGCCACTCCTAATGTTACTGCTATCTCTCTGATGGATTTGTTTTGTTTTTGAAGCCTTACAATGTTCTGTTTCACTTGCATGGACAGCTCCTTTGAATGCATGATGTAGGTTCACAGTAATAGATTCCAAATGCAAATGCCACACTTAGAATCAACTCCAGACCTTTTACCTGCTTAACTGAGGAAGAAATAATGGAGTAGCCTCACCTGGCTCAATTTTTTTTTGTTCAATAACAAACATGTTCTATTTACCTGCTCTGTGCAGTGGTTTTGCACAGAGCAGCCCCGATCCTCCTGTTCTGGGGTCCCCCACTGGCACTCCTGACCCCTCCCTCTTGTCGCTCCTCAGCCGCTGCTCTGTGTGTCCATCACACATGAAGCCGTGGCTCGGCCCTGCCCCTTTCTCTCCTCACTGGCTCCTGCTTCTGTCTCAACCAATGAGGAGGGAGTGTCCCCGGCTCTCGTGCGTAATGCTGGCTCGCAATGGGGCTCATATGAGTATTAGGGGAGGTTGGGGGAGTGCTGCACTCAGAAGGTTTTTTACCTTCATGTATAGATCCTTGAGCCTTTACAACCACTTTAATAAACATAAGTACATGGTACAACTTAAACATATTAGGAATATGAAATGTGGGGGCAAGATTTTCTTTAAAGTTTTATATGCCAGATTTTTGTTTCCATTTTTTGGCAAGATTGTTCCAGACCCAAATTACATTTTTTACTTGCAAACATTCAACAAAAAATTTGTGCAGAAGGCTTTCTCCACCTTCTCTTGGAACAACGGAACAGTTGCCTCTAGTTGTCTGCACCCCAGAAGGAGGAGCCATCATAAATGCTAGGTCACATACCCACCCCAGCCAGATAACCAAAGCTTCGATAGTAAAATATTCTTTAGGAGATTGTAACAGTTTTTTTTTTTTTTTCTTTACCATTGATAATATGGATATGGGAGAAAATTGAGTGTAGAAAATATGGTGTATGTGATATTTTAATGGACAAATGATATTGACTCCTGTAGCGTTTGTATGCAAATAACATTTTTTTGTTTTGTTTTTTAATTAAATCACATTTTTTCCTAAAGTGTAAGATAAATGGAGCCCCAAATAATGAATCATTTTTTTTTTTTTTTTTTTTTTAATTCCAGCTTCAACATGAGCAGCAACTGTAATTCTGTAGCTCGGGAATTTTTGTCTGATGTCAACAAGCTGTGCAGCGAAGGAGGAGAAAGCAAGGATGATGAAGAGGAAGAAAGTCACATGGCTGTTCTTGGAGAGTATCTCTTATATGGACGTGGACTTGTGCTCCTTACAATGCTCAATGACCGTGTTGATCAGGTAACTGTTAAATAATCAAGTGTGTAAATGTTTCCAAAACAGAACTTGAGCTGAACAAATGAAGAACTGAGTAGAGCAAGCTGCAGTAAGTCAGAGTGGTAGAATCCAGTTAAATATCTTCTGTAATCAGCTATACATTAAGGCAGAGACTGTAGACAATTTTACAGAAAAAATACATTCAAAACTGTGCACCTATATAGCAGATTTAGTGTGATGTGGATTTATGAGGAACCATTAATTAAATTACACTGTAAAAACTCTAAGTACAGGCATTATAATTAGTGTGAAGTCAGATGTACAGGCATCATCAGACATGGGTACAGCCAGTTTGTATAGGAGCCTGTTGTGCTAGGACAAAGGGTTGTGTTCACTATGTTCAGGGGGAAGGACAAGTTGGGAGGAAACTGCTGGAGGTAAACATGGCAGATTAAAGAATATAGGTATAACTGCACAAAAAACATTTTATTGTAAATGGCATGAAAAATGGGGGAGCTTGATGAACATTAAAATGTTGCCGGTGTTTTAGAGAGCTGGTTTAATTCTGCATGTGATTGGGTTTATTAACTAGTGTCAAACAGTTATTTACACAGGGATGCCCATTCTGTCTCTCTCCACTGACAATTTACACTGCTTATGATGACCTTTTATTTGTTCCTCTGCCTTGGGTGTTGAGTATGTGTCTCTCACCACTGTATCCCAAAATGTAGCACTTAGTGGCCAATCCCCAAGTCCATCAAATGGGACCAGTAAAGAAAACTCCAGCTAGACTAACTCGGAGCTTACACAGATCTTTCTTTGCTTTGCTCCAGGGGGTGAAAGCAAGCAGAAAGGGTAAGAGTAGATGGTGAGTACTGTAATGTACAAAAACATTTTTACACAGTTCCACTTAGACATGTAATGTGTAGGCTAGTCTGTTAGTTTAGTAAATGGGTAGATGGAAGGACAGTGGTTAAGTGGTTAGCAATTTTGCCTGGAAGCACAAGGGACGTCAGTATGAATCCCAACCCCAGCACAACCTGGATGGGATTTGCATGCTTTACCTGTGTTTGCATGGGTTCTCTGGTTTCCTCCCACACTCTGCATGCACGTAGGGTAATTGTCCCTAACGTGTATGTATGAATGTGAGTTGGGGACCTTAGATTGTAAGCTCCTTGAGAGCAGGGACTGATGTGAATCTACAATATACATGTAAAAGTGTTGCATAAATTGTAGACTCTTTATAAATACCAATCATAAATAGATAACGGACTTAAAGAGAAACTATTATTTTCTTGGGTTTTTCTATTTTATTTGTAGTTTACACTGTAGTTTACACTGGTCCAGAGATGTCCGTTTTTCTGCATGCGTTCTGCAAAGGCACAAAATCAATAGTTCTCTATGTGCCCTGTTCACACCACAACTCTAGTATCACGGGCAGATCTGCAACGTGTATAAAACTTGTGAAGCGTGCATGAAAACTGACGTCTCTGCAAGTGAAATCTGCACGTCAGTTTCCATCAGTTTTTCTGCATCTATGGTGTGAGGCCTAAAACTTTTTTTTTTGTTTTTACAAAAATTTTTGATTTGCAAAGTAAGCTTTCTATTTACAAAATATTCATTACATGAATGTCAAAAACATTTGTGCAAACTGAATGAAATTTCATAATGTGTTTTCTAATAGATTAATTCCTTTATCATACGCTCCATCTAGTGGACAAAATCAAATATATTTCACAAAACTATACTGCATCTTGGCCACTAGATGGAGCCGATGATGCAGGAAATTATCTAATAGAAATCACATGGTCAAATTTTGTTCAGCTTGCACAAATGCTTCTGACAATTGTATAATTAATGTTTTATAACCCCCCACCCCACCCAAAAATCCCAACATTTAACACAGGGTGCATATATGAAGTGGAATTCACACAGCGTTATCGATTTTCTTTATCAAAAGCACAGCAGAAGCTGTTTTCTATCATTCTTATTGAAACTTGTGAGGAAGGAACTTGAGCTGGTAAGCCCTGTAAACCGGGTAAAACAAGTAATGGTAGCAAGGAAAATGAGGATAGAAAATATTCATATGCAAAGTGAGAAAGTCATGCTAAAGGTAGAACTCTATATATAATAAATATGTATGTGTATCTGTGTGTATCTCCAAATAGATTAACAGAGAGAAAAAAAAAGTGCACATATCCCCTTAAATACTATTCAAATAAAACTCAGGTGTGCTCTATATACAATAAAAAAACAATAAATGAATAAAACTGTGAAACATTAATCCTTATACTTGGTAAAAAAAAAAAAAATGAAGTCCAAAAATTGCAAAAGGTGTTTCAGTGCTAAAGTGCCATCCACATGCAGAGCCTCTTACCAGACAAAGCCCCTTGTTTAATCTAGCATTCTGGTCTGGTATTTAGACCTGGTTAGGTGGTGCAACCACTTTTTGATTAAGCATGAGTTTATTATATATAATTTTTTTAGAACTCTATGTGGTTAGTTGTTCTAGCTATAGACTAAGTACTTCAGCTAGGCAACTAGCATTTTCCTAATAAGGGTCACTAATAGGTAACATGACATGTTTACTTGAAACAGATGGCTGAGTAAGACTCTCTAATATCTAATCTGGAAATCTCTATAATACAGCAACAAACAGGTGGAAGAGCGAACATGTGCAAAGTGAAAGTCATAGTAAAAATTACTTTAACATAAAGTCCGTAGTGATAACAAAAATTGTTTTCCCTTTTAATTCAAATGTATCTTTAAGCCTCAAATGTCCCCAAAGGATCTCTAGTTTCAGTGGGGAAAAGAAAAAAAAGGTATGAGTGTATTTCTAACAATTCAAAAAGATAAAGGACTACTTAGATTTAAAAAAAAAAATACATATTAGAATTTTGAACCATATTGTCATACCATTACTTTTTAGGAATTGTTTTCCTATTAACTAGATTAATGGTTGAACTTGGTGGACATATATCTTAACTTAGTTTATAGTACAGTAAATGTATATCTATATTGGTAAAGGGGTAAGTCCTAACTGTCTATAGAAAGTTATCCTGACTATAATTTGGGTCCGTCAGATTGGCTTACCTGGCAGTTCCCAGCCTTTTGCCTCTCAACCAGCTCAGTTGTCAGCATATCTCTCCCCTAGGAGCATATAGTTGTCATCTACTAGATGTACCAGAGAGTAAATTCAAGAGTGTCCATGTTGTCAGCAGGTTAAAAAAAAATCTAAATCCTTCTCTGTACATTGAGGAAGGGGAAGGGGATTCTTTCGTCTTTTTTGCTATTCTGTTACTTGACCTACGAGTCTTATTTATTTTCTGGTTATAACCTTGGCCTGTTTTCTTGGTTTTGCTGATTATGTCCAATGGATGAAACTTTATGCCACCCCTACTGTATTAAGAATGAATGTGTAAATCAGATTATTAAAACACATCTGGGAGGGAGTAGCTGGTCCTGTGAATGACAAAGATAGGAAAGATGTCCTAGAAAGCCACTTTACCACACAGATTGTCATTATTGTTTACATTTTATTTACAAATTCTTAAAAAAGCATATTACTTAGTGTTTGTAAAGGCTGAAAGTTTTTATACCCTCATGCATTCTATACATGGATGTAAAAATACCTTCTTTGTGCAGCAGTGCCCCCAGCCCCCTCAATACTTACCTGATCCTCATCATGATCCAGCGATCATTGGCTGAGACAGCAAGTGGGAGCCATTGGCTCCAGCTGCTGTAAATCATAGCCAGTCAGCCAATGAGGAGAGGGGGGGGGCAAGCTACTGCTCCTTGAGTGAATGTACACACAGAGCAGCTGGTGCCCCCATAGCAAGGTGCTTGCTGTGGGGGCACCCAACAGACAGGAGAAGCCAGGAGAGCCTGTGGGGGACCTGAGAAGAGGAGGATCCGGGCTGTTCTGTGCAAAACCACTGCACACAGTAGGTATGTATAGACACATGTTTGTTATTTTACAAAAAAAAAAGAACCTGTTAGAATCTCTATAAGCACTCATTCTGAAATACATTATATCCTACATTTAGTAGCTGTCCCCTTTCCCTCTTCTTTTTTTTTTAATTTGTCTTAAGCTTTGTTGCCAGAAAACCTGTCTTTTATCTTTATGGATAGCTCATTGGTTTGTTTTGATTCTACTTTAAATAAAGCAAATTTAAGTATAGAGAATGCCCCCGTAAGTAATGTCCAATTTTAAAAAAAGACTAGTTCTAAAGCCTCAACTGTGTATTTTTTTTTCTTCCTTTTAACACATTCTATGCATTAAGGTAAAAAAACACCTGTCAGACTTTCCCCTCACCCCACTTCTATTTACCTGAGCCTGATGTTGATCTAGGACTGTGCACAAGAGCTTTGGCTCTCCCGGCTCTGTACCTCCTTAATGGGCAGATTAATCCTGTCCATCAAATCCACTGATGTGGGAGTGGCCAAGCCCCACTGTCTGTGTCAATAGATGTGGGAGAGTGAGCCCTCATGAGTGCCCCCATAGAAAGTGGCTTTCCATGGGGGCACTAAGTGGAGGGTGGGGGGGCCAGGAGTGCCAGCGGGGGGACTCGAGAATCCATATGATTGAGGCTGCTTTGTGCAAAACCCTTGCACAGAGCAGGTAAGTTATAACACGTTTATTTTTTTAATTGAAAAAAAAAATGTTACCTGCAATATCACTGTAAATACTCTAACTCCCTCTAATTTCTCAAACGCTAAGAGGACACACACACACTATTGTCAAAAGTATTAAGACACCCCTCCAAATCATTGGATTCAGTTGTTCCAAGCACCTGGACATGCAGGCTGCTTCTACAAACATTTGTGAAAGAATGGGTCGCTCTCAGGAGATCAATGAATTCAAGCGTGGTACCGTGATAGGTTGCCACCTGTGCAGTAAGCCCATCCATGAAATTCCCTTGCTACTAAATATTCCACAGTCAACTATTAGTGGTATTACAACACAGTGGAAGCAACTGGGAACAGCAGCAGCTCAGCTATGAAGTGGTAGACCATGTAAAATGACAGAGCGGGCTCAACGTTTACTGAAGCACACAGTGTGCAGAAGTTGCCAACTGCCTGCAGAGTCAAAAGCTAAAGACCTCCAAACTTCCTGTAGCTTTCAGATTAGCACAACAATGCATAGAGAGCTTCATTGAATGGGTTTCTATGGCCGAGCAGCTGCATCCAGTCCTTACAGCACCAAGTGCAATGCAAAGCATTGGATGCAGTGGTGTAAAGCACGCTGCTACTGGACTCTAGAGCAGAGGAGATGTGTTCTCTGGAGTTACGAATCAAGCTTCTCTGGCAATTCAATGGATGTGTCTGGTTTTGGCAGTTGCCAGGAGAACGGTACTTGCCTGACTGCATTGTGCCAAGTGTAAAGTTTGGAGGAGGGGGATTGTGGGGTATGATTGTTTTTCAGTGGTTTGTCATGGCCCCTTGGTTCCAGTGAAGTGAACACTTAAGGCATCAGCATAGCAAGACATTTTGGACAACTTCATGCTTCCAACTTTGTAGGAACAGTTTGGGGATGACCCCTTCCTGTTCCAATATGACTGCGTGCCAGTGCACAAAGCAAGGTCCATAGACATGCATGAGCAAGTTTGGGGTGGAGGAACTTGACTGGCCTGCACAGAGTCCTGACCTGAACCCGAAGGAACACCTTTGGGATGAATTGGAGTGCAGACTGCGAGCCCAGCCTGTGAGCCAGCCAGTGCCTGACCTCACAAATTGAAATTCTGGAAGAATGGTCAAAGATTCCTATAGACACACTTCTAAACCTTGTGGACAGCCTTCCCAGAAAATTTGAAGCTTTTCTAGCTGCAAAGGGTAGGCCAACTCAATATTGAACCCTGCAGACGAAGACTGGGATGCGCATCCCAATATTTTTGGCATTATAGTGTGTGTGTGTGTGTATAATATATATAAATATGTATATTTATATCATAGAAAGGAAATGCTTTGCATGTGTTTTAGTTTCCTTGTTTGGCATTTCTTCCTTTTTTTATATTTTTATCTAGCTGGAATAATCATTGTGCATTGGGATGATACTGGCACTATGTTCTGTGTACCTAGTACTGGTTTATGTTTGTCTTTTATATATTTATATTTATATTTTTTGTTGTAAATGTTTGTAATTGTCATTTATTTCAGGATTTGACGTGCCGTGAGGAGCTTATTACTCTTATTGTATCTCTTTTACCTCTGGTTTGGAAGATTCCATTGCAAGAAAAAGCAAGAGGTAATTCCATCATTATTATACAATATAAAAACACTAAAGATATTACTCTCTACTTGAACTTAAAAATGCTTGCAGCATGCAGAAAAGAGGTTGATAAAATTAACACTGAACCCCTGCTGTGCTCTGCAGCTTCTGGCTAAATAATACATTAAATAATAAACTAAATAATATTAATACTGTATACAAATAGTCAGTTATCTCTGCCTAGGTTGTCCAAATGTTTTACAATATTTGCTAGCTGTGATGCTCTGTACCTTTCAGTATTGGCAGGCACCTTAGCATGTAAAGGTTGGGTCTGTGACTTGATTGTAGAAAGGCAATTTGTTTTATTTTGGCAAATATAACGGTATCGATATTGTGGTTACATTTGAATTGTGTTGAGCAGAACAGCTCTATTAGGGCAGTTTCTTTATTTTGTAAAGAAGCATTGGGAAAATACTAAGATTTTGGTGTCAGCAGGTGCCTTCTGTATTGAAAGTTCAGGGTATTACACCTAACACTTTGTACTTTTGGAATCCTGGCTCAACAATTTATATATATATATATATATATATACACACGTATACACAGGTGAAACTCGAAAAATTTGAATATTGTGCAAAAGTTCATTTATTTCAGTTATGCAACTTAAAAGGTGAAACTAATATATGAGATAGGCTCATTACATGCAAAGCAAGATAGTTCAAGCCATGATTTGTCATAATTGTGATGATTATGGTTTACAGCTCATGAAAACCCCAAATCCACAATCTCAGAAAATTAGAATATTACATGCAATCAATAAAACAAGGATTGTACATAGAACAATATCGGACCTCTGAAAAGTATAAGCATGCATATGTACTCAGTACTTGGTTTGGGCCCCGTTTGCAGCAATTACTGCCTCAATGCGGCATGGCATGGAAGCTATCAGCCTGTGGCACTGCTGAGGTGTTATGGAAGACCAGGATGCTTCAATAGCGGCCTTCAGCTCTTTTGTATTGTTCGGTCTCATGTCTCTCATCTTTCTCTTGGCAATGTCCCATAGATTCTCTATGGGGTTCAGGTCCGGCGAGTTTGCTGGCCAATCAAGCACAGTAATCCCATGGTCACTGAACCAGGTTTTGGTACTTTTGGCAATGTGGGCAGGTGCCAAGTCCTGCTGGAAAATGAAGTCAGCATCCCCATAAAGCTCATCTGCGGAAGGAAGCATGAAGTGCTCCAAAATCTCCTGGTAGACGGCTGCGTTGACCCTGGACTTAGTGAAGCACAGTGGACCAACACCAGCAGATGACATGGCTCCCCAAATCAACACAGACTGTGGAAACCTCACACTGGACTTCAAGCATCTTGCAGTGTGTGCCTCTCCATTCTTCCTCCATACTCTGGGTCCTTGGTTTCCAAATGAGATGCAAACATTGCTCTCATCAGAAAAGAAGACTTTGGACCATTGAGCAACAGACCAGGTCTGTTTTTCTTTAGCCCAGGTAAGACGCTTCTGACGTTATTTGTTGTTCGGGAGCGGCTTGACAAGAGGAATACGACATTTGAAGCCCATGTCCAGGATCTGTCTGTGTGTGGTGGCTATTGATGCACTGACTCCAGCCTCAGTCCACTCCTTGTGAAAGTCCCCAACACTTTTGAATGGCCTTTTCCTGACAATCCTCTCCAGGCTGCGGTCATCCCTGCTGCTTGTGCACCTTTTTCTTCCACACTTTTCCCTTCCACATAACTTTTCTATTATTGTGCTTTGATACAGCACTTTGGGAACATCCAACTTCTTTTGCAATTACCTTTTGAGGCTCTCCCTCCTTAAGGAGGGTGTCAATGATGGTTTTTTGCACAACTGTCAGGTCAGCAGTCTTTCCCATGATTGTGATTCCTACTGAACCAGACTGAGAGACAATTTAAAGGCTCAGGAACCCTTTGCAGGTTTTATGGCTTAATTAGCTGATTAGAGTGGGAAACTTTGAGCCTAGAATATTGCACCTTTTCACAATACTCTAATTTTCTGGGATTGTGGATTTGGGGTTTTCATGAGCTGTAAGCCATAATCATCACAATTATGACAAATCACGGCTTGAACTATCTTGCTTTGCATGTAATGAGTCTATCTCATAGATTAGTTTCACCTTTTAAGTTGCATTACTGAAATAAATGAACTTTTGCACAATATTAAAATCTTTTGAGTTTCACCTGTATATTATATATAATCTCCTTTTAAGGATTCAGGTTTAGAAAATGCTATAAATGACATCATTGTGTAACTTGATGAGTTGTGCACCTCCCAGTGCAAAGTGTATGCAATGCAAAACCTAATTTTAAGTTTTGGATAAAGTCTTGGGGAAGTTTTAGACCGCAAGTCAAACAAGCGTTTTTTTTTTTTTTGTATTTTTTTTTTTTGTGTTTTTTTTGGCTGCCTACAATTCTGCTGGGGAAATTCACCCACTGTTTGTCCTGGTGACTACTGTCATAGATCAAGGAAGTGATGTGGGAAAAAAAACTAAGAAATTGTTCCTAGAGTGAGTGTGAATTATCCAACACCTTTCTGTGAGGGGAATTATTATCCTTTGGTGAAATTTCTTATGTCTGATAGAGAAGACGTGAAGGGAAACAGATTGCAAAAGAAATTAGTAGGGTTTTTAAAACTTCCCCATTCTTTCCAAAACTTGAAGAAAAAGTTTTGGCTATGTACACTCTTTAAAGGGTATCTAAACCCAAAACCAAAAAAATAACAAATGGCTACTTGCCAGTTCTTGGATTTGGTGGCTGCATTAGGATTTCCTTTTTAGGTTGAGAACATTTTCAGCACAAACAGAAAATGCCTGTGGAATGCAATGTCCTTGTTCCTTCCGAACTTAAAAGAATTTAAAAAAAAAAACCTTCTTTGTGATGTGTAAACTACTAATCCCATTAATCCACCATGTAATGGAGATAAACAAAGACAGAAATGTTTTGTGTTACGACCATGGCTGTCTCCATTGATACAATGGAGAAGAAAACATTGACATGAAGGAACAAAATTGTGTTATTTGCAGGAACATAGCAATAGAGGAAAAGGCTTGATTAAAAAAAAACACTAATGATGTCACTACATCTAAAGTATAGTAAGCTGCACTATATTTAAATTGCAGTTTTTGTAAATTTTTATTTTACCACTAAGGGCCCATTCACATCAGTGAGCCATGCTAAATGCATGGTGTGCGCTGTGACACCATATATGGTGTGAATGGACTCATAAATTGTTACTAAACCCAGGACCCTGCAATCACTATATCTGGTCTCCAACAGTACTCAGAACATGGAAGTGCAATTATTTTAGTAAATATAAACTGCTAAATACCTTTTCTCATCAGCAGTTTTGTGACTTCTATCAGTGTGCAGTTGAGCACTGGTTAAAGCTTGTAGGAAGAGTTTTCTTTGTGCTTTAGGAGTATGCAAAACCCCTGACCTCTGGACAGTGCTGATTGGCCCTGTGCTGATAACATGCACTCTCCCAAGAAAAAAAAAACCTCTAGCAATACACACTAAACTGAGCATTTGCAGAAGGGCTGCAGGTTCAGTCTGTTTTATCAGGAGATAACGTGGACATTTTGAACAAGAGGAGGGGCAGAGAAGAAAGAAGAAAACAGCCTTTTTACACAAAGCAGAGGATTAACCCCTTAGGTTCCACAGTGAGTATAACAAGCATGCTTTACTGCATATACAGACTGATTTTACTATTGTGGGTTTAGTAACACTTTAATATATACATCTCATGGGAAAAATTAGAAGGAAGACTGCCATCCTGCTAAAATGCTAGATGCCTGACTGTTCCACTGGAATCTCTACTTTTTTTTCAGTCACTGACACAGTGCAAGTATGCAGATAAAGACAGGAAGAAACAGACAGAACTCCCTATCTGCATATTTGTTCCAGTTCACTGACTGTATTTAATTTTTAAAATAGGAGTTTAATGGTTTGTCGATTTTCTCACAAATTTTTGGAAGGATTTCTGTAAGATTCGTAACTTTATTTCATTTACTTTTCTTTTTTTTTAATGTTTTTAGAAGTTATTTTACCTTCACTTGAAGCAGAACCTTTTACTACCAAAGAGAGTTGTTCAACACTACAAAAGCCTCAGAGAAAAGACACTGAAGGAATTTCCTCATCAGACTGCTCAAATCTTTTAAATGTTAACTCACGACACCATAAATCAAGACGCCAGTCCAAAAAACACACCTTGTTATACATCTAAGGATGAAAAAAAGTCACTGTCTACATCAGATTCTGAAGAAATCCTGGATGAAAAGACTTTATCTGTAACTAAACAAAGACATGCACAGCATACCCTTACATCACACTCATGGGAGTCAGCTGTATCTGGCAAAGGTTTCCCTCAACAGAAATTGGAAAGTAAACCAAAACCAGATACAAGCTTCTCAGATATTAAAATTTTAGAAAGACCTGTTTCCCTGTCAGAGAAAAACACCTCTCCATTTGATCTTTGTCGAATATTGCTATCTTTACTTGAAAAAGTTTCCAAGTTTGATATAAAGCTGAATCATAGCATTTCACTTTCTGTTACTGTCATCCCAGCATTAACAGAGTTCCTGTTGGGCTTTGGTGATTATTATGCATGTGACAGAGGAACACTGGCAACGGGATGGACTGAGGAACCAGTGGCATTAGTGCAGAGAATGCTGTTACGCACAGTCTTAGGACTACTGTGTGCCGACATTAATAGCAGGGATGTTATGCCAGACAATTTAAAGAAAAACCTTAATGATTTGTTAAAAACAGCCTTAAAATATAAATTTTATCTAAATAGCAGGCCTGACATATGCCACCAACAGTCAGTCAAAGATGGTGCAGAAAAATTAGAGATGCCTAGATGTCAGCATCAAGCTCTTTTGATAGCAGAGCTTTTTGAAGGTATTTTCCAAATCATGTTGTTGTGTCTTAAGTGTGCAGCACCAAATCCTTTATATTTTAGTCAATCTATTGAACTCTTGCATGACTTTGTACAGTACAGTGGATTTGATCTCCTTGAGAAAGCAATCCTTTATATGGAGTCAATATGTCTACAGTGTGAAAGCCTAAATTCTCAGGCTTGTGAACATGTATCATTACTCATCAATAATGTCATAAAAATAATCAGTGTTATCAAAAAAGTCAAATCTGAGCAACTTCATCAATCAATGTGTACTAGAAAAAGACATAGGAGATGTGAATTTTCACACTTCATGCACCATCACAGAGATCTGTCTGGTCTTCCAGTTTCTATTTTCAAAAGTCGTGTTCTTAAAGATTCTTTTGAAGAGAATATATATGAGGAGGTCCGATATCCTGAGAGGAGTTGTTGCATTGCAGTGTGCGCACATCAATGTTTACGTTTACTGCATCAGGCATCATTGACCCCTACATGTCTGCAGATTATTTCAGGTATACAGAGTGTGGGGATTTGCTGCTGTATGGATCCTGCATCTGTTATTTTACCTCTTCTTTATGCTTTTAAGATGCCAAGATTAACAAATGTACAACATCACACTCTGAGTCTACTTGCACTTTTGATGTTGGATCAGCTAGGCGGAGGTGAAAGCTCAAATACTGTTAAGCAAGCATCATGTAACATATGTGCAATGGATGGTGAACATTTAGCAGAATTGCAGGACACAATTCAAGGCAAATCTGACCCTGCTCTATCTTCAGGTTTGTGCAGTATGACTTATAGATTTCAGGGTGTTCTACCAAGCAATGGGTCAGAAGACATGATGTGGAAATGGGATTCTTTGGAAGCTTACCAAGAACTTGTTTTTAGTAATGATTTACACCTAAGCTTACCTATTGCCAGCCACATTTGCTTCATCATTCAGAAAGGAAACGCAGTAATTCAATGGAAATTGTACACCCTTATCTTTAATGCAGTTTTACAAAGAGGGGTAGAGATGGTACATCATTCTCAACAGATGGGTGTTTCAACATCATACAGCCATACAAGCAGCTGTCAAACAGGATTATCTGAAGAATTACTTAAGGTTTACCTAAAAGTACTTCCAGAATTGCTGAAGTTCAGGTTAGTATTTGATATTTTTTTTTATCCCTGTATGAGCATTTTCTTTCCTTTTTTTAAAACCTATTTTTTCACTTTAAAATATTGCCCCCTTTCCCAGTTCTTGCACTTGTTTAGCTTCACGCACAAGAATAGTTTTATTTTTCAGTAGACTAAAGAACGATGAGTCAATGAGCTTTAAATGGAAATTATACATATACAGTGGGGGAAAATAATTATTTGATCCCCTGCAGATTTTGTAAGTTTGCCCACTTAAAAAGAAATGAAAGGTCTATACTTTTTATCATAGGTGTATTTTAAATGATAGAGACCTAATATCAACTAAAAATCCAGAAAAAACACATGATACAAATGTTATAAATTCAGTTGCAGTTCAGTGAGTAAAATAAGTATTTGATCCCCCTACCAACCAACAATAATTCTGGCTCCCACAGACTGGCTATGTGCTCATGTGGTACACAGATTAATCCTGTCAATTTAAGAAGGTGCTCAGACAACTTGTGTATAAAAGACACCTGTCCACAGAATCTTTTTTCCGTTTAAACCTCATCACTATCCTGGGCAAGACCAAAGATCTGTCAAAGGACGTCAGGGACAAGTACTAGACGGGAGGAGCTTGTGAATGATATCAAGGCAGTTGGGATCACAGTCATCAAACAAACCATTGGTAAAACAATACGCCGCCATGGATTGAAATCCTGCAGCACCCACAAGGTCCCCTCCTCAAGAAGGCACATGTACAGGCTCGTCTGAAGTTTGCCAGTTAACATCTAAATGATTCAGAGAAGGATTGGGAGAAAGTGCTGTGGTCAGATGAGACCAAAATTGAGCTCTTTGACATTAACGTGCCTCACCGTGTTTGGAGGAAGAAAAATGCTGACTATGACCTTAAGAACACCATCCCTACAGTCAAGCATGGAGGTGGAAACATTATGCTTTGGGGCTGTTTTTCTGCTAAAGGTACGGGCTGACTTTTCCACATTGAGGAGCCAATGGACGAGGCCATGTATTGTAAAATCTAGGATGAGAACTTTCTTCCCTCAGCCAGAACACTAAAGATGGGTCGTGGATGGGTCTTCCAGCGTGACAATGACCCAAAACATACCACCAAGGCAACAAAGGAGTGGCTCAAGAAGAAGCCCATTAAGGTCATGGAGTGGCCTAACCAGTCTCCAGACCTTAATCCTATAGAAAATTTATGGAGGGAACTGAAACTTCGCGTTGCCAAGCAACAGCCAAGAAATTTTAAGGATTTAGAGAGATCTGTATAGAAGAGTGGACCAAAATCCCTCTCTGAACTGCAGCTCCATTTTATAAAATTTTTTGTATCCTGTGTTTTTTCTGGATTTTTGGTTGATATTCTGTCTCTATCATTTAAAATACTCACTCCTGTGATAAAAATTATAGACCCTTCATTTCTTTGTAAGTGATCACACTTACAAAATCTGCAGTGGATCAAATAATTATTTTCCCCACTGTATATAACCTATTCTTTTAACAAATCAAGACATGACTTTTTTAATAAATAAAAATGTAATTTGATATAGGAATCATAATTCACAAATTTACATTATCAAACGATTTATTCAACATTCTTGTATCGTTCTGTCAGGAGAGCCATCAGAGCCTAGGCAATTTAGATAATTTTTTTATGTTTAGTAAGTTATAAAACGCATTGTATTTATATAGAAGCCCAAACTTAACTCCCCTTTTCTACTGTTCTTGCACCTGTAAAAAAAAAAATGCATAGGGGGAAGAGTGCAAAATCTGGTGCAGCTGTGCATGGTAGCCAATGAGCTTCAAACTTCAGAATGTTCAATTAAGCTTTGCCAAATAAACAACCCTGGAAGCTGACTGGTTTCCAAGCAGAGCTAAACAAGATTTTGCCCTCTCCAATTTTAGTTAATCAACCGCAATGTATTACACCTATTGCTTTATGGTGACACACACACACATTTTCAACAACTTTCATAGAGCTCCTTAGGTCACCAGCCATCGTCCCCTCAGGATAGGCAGTATATACTCATTAATAGAAAACCCACAAAGGTTCACAAGTAGTCAGGCATTACCCTTTTCTTCTACAGCTCTTAGAAACATTAGAAATGCCTTTAGCTTTGGGACTTTTGCCATTGCCTGCAGCATCAATAGCTTCCAGGGTAGAGGAAGAACAGGTTCCTAAAGTTTATTTAGCATGTTTGTTTAATTTACTTATTTATATAATGCTGGAACTTTATAAAACCAAGCATACAACTAAATCAGTATTTTTCTACAGCAATGGTATGCATGCAATAGTGTCAATTTTGTGGCAATTAAAGTGTAAGTATAGCCAAAACTATTTTTTATTTTTGGATTGGAAGGAAATGTTTAAAAAAAAAGTTGCTATTGTATTTCTTCTAACCTCTTTTTCTGGTGACAAACATAAAATTTTGTATTTTTCCTCACATTCTGTCTCGGTGACAATGGTCATCAAGACTATTAGAGGAGTGAATCTCTCCAGCAAGGACATTGACTTTGAAACTCCTTGACAGTGGGCATATCTCTTTCTATTGCCTAAACTTTGACAAATGGAAGTTGAATTCATGGGTTAACTTAGTGTGTTAGGCCTCATTCATGCTGGGCTCCAAAAACGCTTCTTTTACAGGTAGTTGGCTTTTTAATTCCTCCTAAACTCCCCTCTATATTAGCCTCTGTGTCCATTCACACACAGACATTTAGAGGCAGAAAAACAAAAATTCATTACTTGCACATTCAGGAGAGGAGTGTTTCGGTGGGAGAAATGCTGAGTATACCTAAACACCTGTAAACGGGCCTAAATGCACAAAAACACTAGGCTCATTTCACGCTTGAGCTTTTTCATTCCAATGGGCGAAATATATTAACCACTTGCCTACCAGGCACTTATACCCCCTTCCTTACCAGGCCAATTTTCAGCTTTCAGCGCTGCCGCACTTTGATTGACAATTGCGCGATCATGCAACATTGTACCCATATGAAATTTTGATAATTTTTTTCTCACAAATAGAGCTTTCTTTTGGTGGTATTTAATCGCCACTGGGCGCTTTACTTTTTGCGCTATAAATAAAAAAAATTGCAAAAAATTAAAAAAAAAAAAAAAAAAAAGTTTTTTTGTTTCATTTATAAAATTTTTCAAACAGGTATTTTTTCTCCTTCACTGATGTGCGTTGATGAGGCAGCACTGATGTGCGTTGATGAGGCAGCACTGATGGGCACTGATAGGCGGTACTGATGGGCACTGATAGGCAGCACTAAAGGGCACTGATAGGCAGTACTAATGAGGTGGCACGGATAGGCGGCACTGATAGACAGACAGCATAATTAGGGGTCACGGATAGGCGGCACTGATATGCAGCACTGATAGGCGGCACTGATAGGTGACACTGATTATGGGCACTGATAGACGGCACTGACTGGCATCACTGCTGGGCACTGACTGGTGGCACTGACTGGCACAACCCTGGGCACTGACTGGTAGCACTGCTGGGCAGCACTGGTGGGTGGGCACAGGTGGGTGGCACTGGTGGGCACAGGTGGGTGGCACTGGTGAGCACAGGTGGGTGGGCACAGGTGGTGTGGCACTGGCACACATGTAGGTGGCACTGGGCACATGTGGGTGCACTGCTGGGCACAGGTGGGGGCACTGCTGGGCACAGGTGGGGGGCACTGCTGGGCACGGGTGGGCGGAGCTAGTGGGCGCACTGCTGGGCGGAACTTGCGGGTGTCACTGCTGGGCACCGATCATCAGGGCACTGATCATCGGTGCCCTGATGATCGGTGCCGATCCCCCGCTCTGACAACTGCCGGTTCTCGGCAGTACTTTCCTCACGATCTGACAGTGTGAGGAAAGTGCAGCCGAGAACCGGCACTTGGATTTCCCTCTGATCAGCGTGTCATTGGACACCGCTGATCACGTGGTAAAAGGCCGCTGTGATTGGCCTTTTACCACATCACGTGATCAGCTGTGTCTGTAGGACACAGCGATCACGGAGATCGCCGGGCGCGCAGGAGAGCGCGTTCTGGGAGAACGTCATATGACGTCCACTCAGAACTGGCCGGCCGCGGTGAAGCCGTCATTCGGCTATGCGCGGTCGGCAAGAGGTTAAAATGCCCGGCAATGGAATCAATGACCACAGAAACACTTGAGGTGCCTAAATCCTTTTGCAAAACGCAGCTGCAGGCACTTTTTTTAAACTGCTTTTTTTCTTCCCTAGAGCAGTGGTTTGAAAGCAAGGAAAAAAAAAAGTCCTGTGTGGGTGAGGCCTTATACTGTAATCAGTCTTTTCTACGGTTTATTAAGTTAATCATTTAGAAATAGCAAAAAGTAGATAGCAGTGCTTAGTGAATTCTAGAAAAGTGCAACATGCTCTAAATACATTAAAATACTAATTTCATTTATGTGTATCTGTGCAAAATTCATAAGGTGCAAAATGGTGTGTAACTAATATATCCAACTTAAAATGGTTCTAAAGGCTCAAGGCTCAGCCCCCCCCAACACTACCCTGAGCCCCATCCCGATCCATCGATGTCCACGAGAGCCTGCCTGCAGTGAGGGCATCCAACAGATTGGAGGGGCTAGGAGCTCCTGCAGGGGACCCGAGAAGAAAAGGATCTAGGCTGCTCTGTGCAAAACCACTGCACAGAGCAGGTAAGTGTGATCTGTTTGTTATTTTTAAAAAAGAAAAAAACAAGACTTTAGTATCACTTTAATTTCAAGATCAATTCTTGTATACTGAGAAATTCCAAAAACTTATAATATGACAGTTCAGTTAAATTATTATATAAATAAAATAAATAAAAGCATAAGGCAAATAATAGTAATCTCTTCAAAATGTATACATATCTGTGCAGTCCACAGTTATAGTGCTAAAAAGTGCTAAGTGCATAGTTTTGCAAACAAAATTTCTACTTTCTGCCCCTAAGAAATAATTCACCCACCAGATGCGACTGACCCCTTAGAAAACTAAGAAGGTCAAAAAGTGGCTTTT